GGCTACTGCTGTCAGTCCTAGCGGCGGTCCTACTAGGGGTGCTGCTGGTGCTGCTGGAGGTACTGGAGATGGAGGTGCTGCTGGCTCCGGTCCTGCTGCGGGTGCTGCTGGTCGTGCTGGAGGTCCTGCAGCTGGCGGTGTTTTTGGCGCTGGTGCTGTCCCTGCTGTGTCTAGAGTCGCCGCGCGGCCTTGGCCGTACTTCGTTCCGCTCCTTCAGCAGGTTCTTGGTCTTCCAAGAGAGACTTCCAGGAAGCCATCTCTGTGGACTTCCAGGAAGCCATCTCTCCATCCATAGCTACGTCCACAGGGTTACACCTTCAGGGTTACACCTTCAGCCTTGGTTCCGGCTCTGTTTCGTGGCGGGCTACTCGCTCGTCTTCTGTTCTCGGCTCCAGTTGTAAGGCTGAGTATTACGCCGGAGCCATGGCTGCTCAGGAGCTTCGCTGGCTCACCTACCTGCTGACTGACCTCGGAGAGCCGCCTCGTTCTCCTCCAGTGCTGTACGTAGACAACAAGGCCATGTTGGCCTTGTGTCGGGAGCAGCGCCTGGAGTACAGAACGAAGCACATTGCTCTCCGCTACTTTCTTGCTCGTGAGCTGTAGCAGCGTGGTCATTTGCGACTTGCGTACGTGGCCTGTGAGGCCAACATTGCTGATATCTTCACTAAGGCACTTGCGCCTTGTGATCATCAGCGCTTCTGTACTCAGCTTGGTCTTGTGCCTATCTTGCCTCACTTACTCACCTCTTGACCTTGCTTGTACTGTTACATATATTATACTCCTGCTCTTACTTGTTTAGCCTGCTATATATATTTGTACTCCTGCATGTGAACTGGCCTTCTGGCCTTGAACTTGTGCTCGGAATGTGTGGTGAATTTGTGATCCACCCTGAGTTTTGCTTTGCTTTGCTTGACTGGTCTTGTCACCCCTTGTTCTCCCCCACTTTGCCTATGGGGGTGTGTCAAATTATAATGTTGTGTAGGCTATAGTGGGGTAGCCTATATGGGGTACACATTTCTAGGGTTGCATATTTGTATCACTTTCATTCCTTAGTCATTCATTCTTGTTGATTCTTACAGGTCGAACCATCGGACTGCGCCAAAACAGCTTTCAAGACTAGGTACGGGTCGTTCGATTACACTGTGATGTCATTCGGGCTGACCAACGCACTGGCAACTTTTCAGATGACCATGAACGAGGCGTTTAGGCCGCTCTTAGATAAATGTGTGATAGTTTACCTCGACGACATCCTAGTTTACACTCGAAATAAGCAGCAGCACTTAGCAGATCTGGAAGCAGTATTTAAGGTTTTAGACGAGCATCGACTACTGACAAAGGGTTCCAAGTGCGAGTTCTTCCAGGATAGGTTATAATTTTTAGGGCACGTTATTTCGGAGGCTGGAGTTGAAATCTACCCAAAGAAGCTGGGTACGGTTAAAGCGTGGCATCCCCCGACGAACATCACAGAGCTGCAAAGCTTTTTAGGGTTCGTTAATTATGTGGGCCGGTTCGTCCCCGATATGGCACGGTTAACTGCCCCACTGACGGATTTACTGCGGAAGGGGGTCGCTTTTACATGGGGGGAGAAAGGGCATGCTGCCTTCTCTGCCCTGAAAAATGTTCTCTGTTCGCTGCGCGTCCTGCGCATCGCCGACCCACACCGCCCATTCGAAGTGGTTACCGACGCAAGCGACATCGCCATCGGAGCCGTACTGTTCCAGGACTTCGGCAACGGCCTACAGCCCATCGCAAACGAGTCACGAAAACTGCATCCGCCCGAGAAAAATTACCCCATACACGACCGCGAAATGCTTGCAACCGTGCACGCGTTCAAAGTATGGCGCTGTTCCTTAACCGGCGTAGACGTGACAGTACGGACAGACCATAAATCACTACAGTACCTTCGCACACAGCCACACCTCAACCCACGACAGATTCGCTGGCTCGATTTTCTCGAGTACAACTTTCACTACACGGTCACTTACAAAAAAGGAGCCTTGAACATCGCCCACGCACTGACCCGCCCCACTGCCCAGATCCACGCAATACTACTCGCTCAGACAAGCCCACTACTGACAGGCCTATTTACCCACGGGTACCAAACGGATCCATTCTTCACAGGAGAAAATTCGCAGCAGTTCGCAGCAGCAAGGGGAGTCTATTACGTAAAAGCCGGGACTGACCGCATTTGGATGTCTGGGTATACACTGCTACGGGAATTACTGTTACAGGAGGCACACGACGGAGTTACCTCGGGGCACTTCGGAGTAGAGAAAACACGGCAGTAGCTACAGCGATATTACTACTGGCCCGAAATGTTGACCGACGTATAGCGACACGTGGCATCATGTCCCACTTGCCAGCTCATGAAATCATCAAGGCAGCGGCCGGCAGGACAGTTGCAGCCAATACCACCCCCAGAGCGTGCTTGGCAGCAGGTGACGATGGACTTCGTCACGGGGTTACCGGTTGGGGCGAGTGGGAACGACGCGATCCTGGTCGTCGTCGATCGACTGACGAAAATGGCACACTTCGCATCATGCAAGAAATCAACCAAAGCCGAAGAAACAACACGCCACTTCTTCACCACCATCGTTCGATTACACGGGATACCAGCAGCGATCATCAGCGACCGCGACACGAACTTCATTGGCAACTTCTGGCGGAACCTGTGGCAGCAGTTCGACACGCGACTGCAGTACAGCTCATCATACCACCCCGAAACCGACGGACAGACAGAACGGACAAATCAGACCATGGAACAGCTCATCAGGGCCACGTGCGACGACCCGACCACGTGGGAACGGTCAAAGTCATATGCTATAGTCTGTGTAGGCTGTAGTGGGGTAGACAATATGGGGTACAACACTTTTAGGTTTTCCTACTTGTACCCACCTGCTTGCTAGTTCATTCATTCCTCGTTCTCTCACAGGAACACCAACTGCCACTAATCGAATTCCCGTACAACAACTCGCCATTCGCCACGACCCAACAGTCACCATTTTACCTAAACTATGGACAAGACCCGACAGTACCCATGACCCCAAATCCCGACAACCCAGTGCCACGAGCACAACAGTTCGCCGAAATATTACAAGCAGCACGGACCCGAGCAGCAGACGCAATATGAAAATCGAACATCGTCGCTAAACGCAACGCCGACCGACACCGCTAACTTGTCACTTACCAGCCGGACGGCCTAGTTTTACTTGACACCCAAAACCTCCGCCTGCCCATTACCCCAAAACTCCGCCCCCGATACTGTGGACCATTTCGCATCAGCCACATGATCACACCCGTCTCCGCCCACCTCCTCCTCCCCGCTGACTGGTACGTCAGCCCCTCATTCCACGTCAGCCTGCTTCGCCCTTCCGTCCCGTCCATGAGCCAACTGCCACGCAATCGCCCAGCCAGCATGACACGACCACCAACTGAACCAATCATCACCCCCGAAAAAATCCTGAGCCACCGAGTTCATGACCCTCGAGGAGCCCGAAGGATCGAGTTCGTGATCCGCTGGAAAGACCGTACACCCACCGAAGACAACTGGGTTCCCCTGGACAGAGTCGAGAACCACCCCGTCCTCACCGAGTATCTGCGCAGCCGAAACTTCAGGGATCTACACGCACTTTCGTAAGGAGGACCTCCTTAGGGGGGGGGGGGGGGGGGTAGTGTAAGGAAAATCCCTTTTCCTATACTTCGCGTCCCCGCTCAGCGCGTACACCACTGTAGCTTCACAGTCAGCACCGTTACCACTCGCAACTCTCGCATCGTTGCCTCAGTCTCGGGCCCGTTCGCGACAACCACAGTCCATTGCCGTTACCACTGTAGTTTCGCTATATATTCTTCGCTCAGACCTTCGCTCATTGTACTCTTGCTTCGATAGTGCAATTCTCGTTCGTTCACTCAATTGCACTCGTAACGCTTGGTATTCAGAGCCTACGATCTCTTCTCGGACCGCACCCACACCTTCGCTTCCCCACTATCTCAATTTTTTGGGGGGGGTAGACGTCTCTCAGCGACACAGCACCGCCGCTCGTAGTGCAATTCTCGCTGGCTCACTCAATTGCACTCGTAACACATTACAACCCAAAAACTGAACTCCATCCCTGTCCAACTTGGGCCTGGGGTTTTAAGATTCTGGAAATATAAAAACTGAACTCCATCCCCATCCAGAATTACCGTCTCGGCCCCAAACCTGTCACCACTTTCACGTGATTGGTCGAAAGTGATGGGTTTTTTATGCGATTGGTTAGAGAGAATTTCTTCAGAACCCTATTCGGTGATTCGTCCTTGCTCGCATGGCCTCAAATTAATCGAGCGGCCACCACATTTGGTGATAATTACTCGAGTGGCCACGCCAGGGGATTCCTGCACACTTTTTTTTAACCCGGCGCATTACCCTACGGGGGTTTGTAGCCCTGAATGTTTGTCTTGGTTATTGCGCGATCATCTATATCCCAATCTTATGTTCGTGACCCTATATGACCGCACCTGACTGGACGCGCATATAATCGACCAATCATTCGTGGCCACTCGAGTAATTATCACCAATTTTGGTGGCCACTGGAGTAATTCAAGGCCGCGCGAGTAAGGAGGAATCACCGAACATGGTTCTACAGTAATTCTCTTGATTGGTTATCGAATTTCCCACCGAACCTCCCTCGGGGGTTTTCCGAACCGCGGTTTCTTTTGTTGACTTCGTTGTGTAATTTCGGGTGCGGCCTTTCAATATATTTGACTGGTTAGCATTCTGTACGTTTGAAGAGTGCTAAATCAGGACGAGGTATGGTATACGGTAAGTGTCTAAATTTCAAGATCCCGCCACTCTAGCCTTGAAAGCATTCTCAATAGATGGATGTTTACGCAACCTGCATAATTAGCAAAGCACAATAAATGCATCTTACAAAGTGCTAGACTTGTTCATATATCCACCCTAACCCCATCCAGCATCCCCCAAGCCCCTACCCAACCCAAACCTTTCCACACACACCAACCCCTCAAGGACTCCTCTCCTGCCACCACTCTCCATTAGACCGCCCAGTTGCTCCATCATAAAACCTGACTCCTGACTTCCGGTTACCAGGACCCGCAGCATCACCAGCAGCAGCATCAGCAGCAGCATCTCCACTCGATTGCCCCTGGTCAACAAGCGTGGCAGTGAGGCCGCCAGCAGCGCCATCAGCAGCAGCAGCATCAGTGGGGAGGCTGGCGCCCTGCCAGGGGCCGCCGGAGTAGTCCTTGTCAACATCGGAGTCATCGCTGTCGTAGTCGGGCCCACCGCCCCACAGGGCCTTGGGCGCCTGGTAGCACGCCCAGTCCACTGCATACCCGCCCCTGTGGGGTAGGGAAGAAGTGGGGGGAGGGGGGCGTGGGGGGGAGGAACAGAGGTGTAAATACAGTTCACGAGTGCGCCGATCTCATCCCCATCTCTCCCATCGCCCCCATCTCATCCCCATTTCCCCCATCTCATCCCCATATCTTCCATCTCCCCCATCTCAGATCTCACTGGTTCATGCCATGGAGGTAGAGCTAATTGGCGACCGTCTGCGCCAACACTATACAGGTGAACATAGCACCCCCATCACCCCCATCTCTCCCATCTCTCCCATCTCCCCCATGCTCACTGGTTCATGCCGTGGAAATAGAGCTTCTTAGTGACCGTCTGGGCGAACGCCCAGATGAGGTAGCTGGTGGTGTTGAGCTTCAGCGGCACGTTCCCCGTGCCCACCGTGCGACTGAAGGCAATGGACGTGCCGCCCTCACTCGTGGTCGACACCGAAGTGGTCCCGAGGGAGAGTGACGTCTGCTGGATGTTCTTCAGGCGATAACCGCTCATGTAGAACGCGCCCACGCCGGGGAGGTTCCCGATGACTGCATCCGAGCCCTTCATTTTGCCTTTTTTGGAGAATCCGACGGCCATCCACGCGTCTTTGATGATGGTGTTGGATCGCGCTTCGAGCAGGAAGTTGATGACCGTGTTGGAGGCGAACTTCCAGTGGAGCAGGTAGCTGGAGGGGTGGAGAGGGTTGGAGAGGGGTGGAGCAGGGTGGTCCAGGGCGGAGAGGGGTGGGGAGGGGTGAAGGAGTAGGGGGAGGGTGAGAAGGGAGGAAGTTGATGACCGTGTTGGAGGCGAACTTCCAGTGGAGCGGGTAGCTGGAGGGGTGGAGAGGGGTGGAGAGGGGTGGAGAGGGTTGGAGGGTGGCAGAGAGGGGTGGAGGGGGGTGGAAGGGTAGGGGGATGGTGAGAAGTGGGAATGGCGTGAATTGGTGACTGTGATGAACGGTAGTGGAAAGAATAGAGTGGTGCGGGCTTGTGGATACTGAGTGATAGTGTGAGAGGCTGGCTGGGAGATCAACAGTGTGTGATCGACAGTGGGAGATCGACAGTGTGAGATCAACAGTGTGAGATGGACAGTATGAGATCAACAGTGTGAGATCGACAGTGTGAGATGGACAGTGTGAGATGGACAGTGTGAGATCAACAGTGTGAGATGGACAGTGTGAGATCAACAGTGTGAGAGGCTGGCTGGTTGGTTTGTTCCAGCACACACACACACACACACACACTCATCTCGTCCCTTGGCACACTCTTTCTCGCACACACGCCTGCCCGTGTGCGCGCGCACACACACTTACACAGCCACACACAGTCTCAAACGGACTCACACACCCACACACACAGTCTCACATCGCCCCCACGTGCACTCACTTGCCACTGCCCAGCTCCAGCTGATACTCATATCCATCTAAGGTGGACGGCGGGGGGGGGGGGGGGGGGGGTCGGGGAGGGGAGGGCTGGAAAGAAACTACAGGCCGCAGACACACAGTCCCATCCGCACTCACTTGCCACTGCCCAGCTCCAGCTGATACTCATATCCATCGAACGTGGACGCGGGGCACAGCACGCCCTTGGTGGGGGGGGTTCCGCCCGACGGGGGCGGGGGGGAGGGCGTGGTGGAGGGGGGAGGCGGGGGGGAAGGCGATTCGGGGGAGGGGGCGGGCGCGGGCGCCATGACGGTGGCGTCCCCCGCCATGAGGCCGTTGCACGAGTAGTCCACCTGCGCGGAGCCACTGGAAGGGGGGGGGGGGGGGGGGAAGGCTGGACGTGAGGCTTCAGGGCGCCATGACGGTGGCGTCCCCTCCCCCGCCATGAGGCCGTTGCACGAGAAGAGTCTATCTGAGAGGAACCACTGGGAGGAGGGCGGAAGAGCAGGCACACACAGAGGGGGAGGCAAGGCACACACAGAGGGGGAGGCAAGGCACACACAGAGGGGGGGGGAAGGCAGAACATGAGGCTTCAGGGCGCCATGACGACGGGGCTGCCCTCCATGAGCCCGTTGCACGCGTAGTCCACCTGCGCGGACCCACTGGGAGGAAGTGGGGGAAGGGGGAGAGAGGGGGGGGGGGGGACGCCGTAATGGGCGGCAGAGGGAAGGAGGCAGGGAATGGGCGCCGTAACGATAGTGTCGCACGCCATGAATAGTGTCGCATTGCAACAAGTGTCCAGGAATAGTCCACCTGGGCGGAACCGCTGGGGGAGGGGAGGAGGGGGAACGGGAAGCGGAAGAGGGAGGGGGAATGGAGAGGGAAACGACACTTTCGTATTCTTACTTCCCGCTCTTCCTCCTCCCCCCTTCAGCCATCCAATCCGCCCCTTTCTCTCTCCCTTCCCGTTCCCGCCCGTCCGTTTCTCTCACCTCGATTTCCCCCTTCCCTAATGTCACCCCGCTTCCCGTCCCCATTCTAACACATTCGCCTCCCCCCTCTCCCGCCTCCGTCCCTTCCGCCACCCCCCGTTCTCCCACATTTTCCCCATTCCTCCCTCCCCCCTTCTGCTTACGCTGGAGTCGGGTTGCTCCCCATTGGCTGCCCGTCCCGGCTCGGGAGGAACCAAACCAAGTTCATAGGTCCAGACGACTGGAACGTCACCGAGCCTGTCCCCTCGGTTCGGCTAAACCTGAGACATTGAAAACAAACAGAGTGAAGCACGGACACATCAAGGCGCGACATTTGATGTCAGACATTGGTTTGATCGTCAGCCAAACAGTCGGCCGTCAGTCAGGATTTCGGCCGTCAGTTTAGACGGTAAGCCGTCAGTAGACAGGGCATCAGTTAGAATAACCGGCTAAGGCCACAGAGGGCAAAAAAACAGAGCACGGAAAAGGAACAGGGAGTGGCCATAGAAGGCGCACACTTTCTGGAAATGGCGGTATTGACGAAATCGCGAACGGGAACATCGGCGAAATGGCGTAGTGACAACTATGAACGATGCCATGTCGGCGATAGCTAGCGACGCGCAGTGTACTCACAAGGCGATGGTGCTGTCGCCGAACCCGACGGATCCGGCGCTCCCGATGCTGAGCGTGTTCGTTTGCGTCATAATAGTCATGCGCGTCTCGCCGCCCTGCATCTGCGGCGCGGTGACGCTCATCGTCGTGAAAGGCTTCACTTCGCCGTTCGCGACGTTCGCGAAAACCGCGTCGGTTTTGACGCCGTTTTGGGTGGCGGTCCAGCCGACGCCGAACCAGCCCTTGGATCGCGTCGGGTCGGCCTCGAGCGCCATTTGAACCACCGAGCCTGACGAAGCGCGCCAATGGTACGTGAGTCTGCGCAAAAACAAGTACGCGGGGCGAGGGGCAGAAAGAATGACTTTCGAGTCGACTCAGAGTCAGCAGAGCGCGCCAATGCCACGTGAGACTCCGAGGAGGACGAAGCGCGCCAATGGTATGTGAGGCTCCGCGGAGGACGAGCGCCAATGCCATATGAGTCTGCGCGACGGACAAGGGCGGGAGGGCAGGCGGGGGGAAGGGAAAGGGGCGGAGGGAGCGGAAGGGAGCGGAAGGAGACGGAAGGAGAGGAGGAGGCGGAGAAAGAGGAGGTGGGTTTTTAGATCTTGGCGAGGAATAACAAGTGGGTCGTCATGCCATATCAATGTCGTGTGTCCCCCAGCGAGGCGCATGGTATGTCATGAAATAGAAGCAACGACGAATGAAGCAACGGAGCGAGGGTGTTTATAAAAACACCTAAGTCTTTCCTGCATATCATCACTGTCACGTAAGTAGAGTTGATTTTATAGTCCACTCAATAAATCACCTTCGTTAAAAATCCATCATTTGCGCGTTTCAGATTATGTCGGGACATGCGAGGCGCGATGAAATGCGTCTCCAAACATACGCTGGCGCGAGCTTTGAGGCGCTGAGAACAGCGAGTTAACGGGACTCGGAACATACCCTGGCGCGAGGACCTTCGACGAGGTAAACCCGCTGGCGGCGAGCGATGACGGGCCGCACTTCGCGGAGCTATGCTGCACGGGCGGCGGAGGCGGGGAAGGGGGAGGCGGAGACGGAGGCGGAGGCGGAGAAGGAGAAGGCGGAGGCGGAGACGGAGGCGGAGGCGGGCTGGCGAAGCGGAGGTTTCCGCGGTTGATGGAGCCCATGGTGAGGAACGGGAAGAAGAACGAGAGCGCATCCGGCGGAGGCGGAGGCGGAGCGTTTTTTACGGCGAGCGCGGTGTGCGAGTGGACGAGCAGCAGCGAGAGCAGCAGCGGAAGCGCGGTCATGGTTGCGCGGAGGCTTGCGCGGCCCGCGCGCGAGGCGCTGGCTGACCAGGCGGCCATGTGGAGAGCGAGTAGGTTGGCGGCGGCGGAACGACTGGAAGAAGAGGTGCCGGGAGCGGCTGCGCGCGTCCAGGGAGGAGCGGCAGCAAGAATGGCTCTCCTGCAAACTCCAACTGAGAAACCACACCCGCGTTTGGGTTGGAGTTCGTTGAGCAGAATGGGATTCAAGAGCTTCTTTGAATTTCTGATATGAGAAGTCTGGGGTGCAAACGTGAGGGTGTGCAAGTGCGACGCACATCGACAGACACGGGGGGGGGGCGGCAGAGACGAAGGGGCACCAGGAGAAATTGGGGGCGATGGACAAAATTAGGTTGGTTTGGGGGTAAGGGCGTGTCTTGCAGGGTGTATATTGGGATTACACCTTTTTTACGTAATTGTTATTTTTCCCAAATGTGCTGCCCGCACCTACCGAAAATGGTTTGTGTCTGCCTGACGCGAACCCATTTTTTTGCACGCGGACATACAGTCCCGCCCAAACACAAACCCTGTGGCATATCAGAAGTCGCGAGCGGTAACCCTGTCGCACTGCGAGTTTCGTTGCTTAATCTGCGGGATTTTCTCACGCCCGTGCCATGAGAAAATCGCCCTCGGGCCTTCGGTTGTCTTCGTTAGACCCGTATTGGCGAGCTTCGCATGCCTGGAAACACTTCGGCAAACCCCGAAATATGTGTGTACATGTTCTGTACTCGGAGTGCATGGCACGTGCTGCACACGAACTAGGATACGTAAAAAAGTCGCTGCCAGAAACGAATCCAGAAGTAACTGTCTGTTCGGCTCGTTAAAGACATATGTTACAAGATGGGATCAGGTAACAAACACCGAAATAATGTACTTCCGCCAAGAAAGACACGCCCTAGAGTAAGGGGAATAGGGGGGCGCGGGGAAGGTGGGGGGCGGGGTGATTGGGGAGAAAACGAGGTGGGGGAAGGTCTGGTCTGGATCTTGCGGAAGGAGGGACTGGCGGCGGTGGGGAATAAAAATGAGAAGAGGGGGAGGGGGAAGGGAGATGAAAGGAGGGGGAGTGGGGTTGATGTGATGTGTGCGATGACTCTTGGCGCACCAGGTTATTTGCAACAGACGCGTGTCGCTATGCGGAGCCGCGTAAAGCGCTCATTGGTGGAAAGTAGGCTTGTAGGGGCTAGGGGACACAGTCAGCAGCGACTCGGTACAGGGCACATCTGGGGGTGTACCCCTTCCCCAAGCTTAAGCGGCGCCCAGGGCTGGACGAGTTGAGTTGAGATCGTGACGAAAGTGGTGACGAAATGTTACGAAATCGTTGCAGTTGACGAGAGGTGTTCGCAAATGACGGACAGCCAACCATTACGTGGCACAATAAGGTTCGCGACACCACTCACAGAAGCACTTTCGCGTGCCACGCGCAATCATGCTATGGCAGAGCAGGATTCAGGACCGCGTGTATGAAGAAGGCGGCGCCGACATCGCAAAACCGCTGGTTCGGGAACCCCGTGGCGAGACCACAGCTTTGTTATGGTCAGGTAAGGGAATCAGGTACTGGTTCGGCGTGCCGGGCACATGGCTTGACCAAACCAAGAAGAATCATTTTCCTGATTGGGCAACACAAGGGTCGCACAAGTGTCGGAGACTATCTTTGATTCCTCCCCTTTGCTGTGGCGCTCGCGCGGCCGCAGCTGGATACGCGCTTGTGTCAGCTTCAAATTCTGTTGTACTGAGCTAAAGCAGAGCTTCGAATCCAAAAAACGTAAAGGGCCCTTTCATAATGAAACAAACATATGTTGTGTACACATCACCAAAAGGGAGTGCCACGTCCTTCTCTCCAAACAAACCCATGTGGAGGATGGCTTCGACTGTCAGGCCAGCCCTCCTCCACAATAAATCCTCTGCTAACTTCAACCCAAGCTCCGCTTTCCTCACCATTCCCAAACCCATCACATGCATTATCAATAGAACTATCAATTACGCGTATATTTTTCGAGGTCAAGTATTCTGGGTCCCACCGGATTTCAGCAACAAGAAATCGGAGCTTCCGGGGAAGCTTCCTTGATCGAGCATCCTCAGAACACCTGTGAATCGTTTCAAGCAAAACGACTCCCGTCAATGGCGTTGCAATCCCGTCGGGCCGCGCTGCAAAGCCGGCACCTAGTTCAGCATCCTGACAGGTGGCACCTGGGTCAGGAACAGCACCAGGGGAGATATCATCCAGGCGGGGACCGGGGGAGGTGGTAACTGGATGCTGTGGCCACGTGGGGGAGATTCTATCTGGGACTGGGACAATGACAGGTGAGAGCCATTCCGCCTTGGGAAGGATGTACCAGCGGGAATGGACATGTCTCGGGTGGTGTACCACCGCTGCAGCATCATGTGTCCACCACCCATGCCAGTGCCACGGAAACACACCAGTGCATGGCGCCGCTGCTGTGCCTGCAGCTGTTGCCGCTGCCTCTGCTGCTTCAGCTGCTGCCCGTGCTGCTTCTGCTGCTGCCTCTGCTGCTGCGTTTGCTGGCTCTTTTGCTTTCTCTGCTGCGGTTGTCTCTGCTGTGGTCAGTGCCGTCTCGCCCTTGCTACTCCTCCCTCGCTGCCCCGTCTCCATCTCTCTCATTTTCAACCACAGGGGATACTCATAGAATAGGTACCCCTGTAACAGTGCAGCTGCTCGTAACGAGGACAAACCCCCCCCACTCTCCTCCTCCCCACAGGCCTCATTCCCTCCTCCCGCACAAGATTCAGTATTCTCCTTCCGAGACATCTCACGACCCCCGCTCCTGCATTCGCCATTTTGCAAAATTCCACAGCTATCCCTACCATACTCTCCGTCAGCCTTCTCCTTTTGAAAAGATCCTAAGCCCGTATCTGTTGGCCCGCCACCCTCCACTGCACCATACATCCTCGTTATAAGCTGGGCGCCATGACCCTGCCTCCCCAGCTGCAGCTGGCGGCTTAACCGGGCCTTGCGGTCTCGGAGGGACTCACCCACATGGGGACCCAGGTACTGCCCCAGTAGCCATTCAGGGTCAGGTGATTCCTCAGGTGGGACTATTTCAGGTGGGATGACCTCAGGTGGAATTCCTGACTTGCGGAGGGACTCACCCACGTGGGGACCCAGGTACTGCCCCAGCATCCACTCAGGGTCAGGTGAAGCTTCTTTGATGCTGCTGTTGTCGTTTGTGCTACTGCTGTCACTGCTGCTACAGCCGTTACTGTTGCTACTGCTCCTACTGCTGCTACTGTTGCTACAGCTGCTTCTACAGTCGCTCTCAGAGGGAGGGAAGCGGCGGGAGAAGATGGATAGAGCATCATCCCACGAGCCCACAAAGAGGAGAAACTTCACTGAAAGTTCCCAATGGTGGAGCACGGGGGCTGCAGCGGCACCAGCGGCATCCCCGGCATCCCCACCACCACTGGCAGCAACAGCAGCACTTGATGGCACGTCAGCATCAGCAGCAGGAGACTGAACAGCCGCAACAGCAGCAGCAGTCGCAGTAGCACTGCCATCAACAGTTGCAACACCAGCTGTATCCGCATCACCGGCACCATCAGCAGCTGATTTCACGCCATACACCCCCACTCTCTTCAAAGATAGAGCGGGAGAGTGAGAATGATCAGGAGAGTGAGGAGGTGGAGAAACAGGAGGAGGAGAAGGAGGAGAGAGGGATTGAGGAGGGGGAGAGTGGGGCGGCAGTGTGAACAGCACATCAAACTCCCCCACTGTCTGGATTCGTCCTTTTCTGTCCCTCGATTCTCGCAGGAATCGCTTTCGAGCCCGCCTGCCCATCTGCCTTAGCTCCGGAAACTCCAGCTCCGGCCGAGCTGGAGCCAGCTCGAGGTTCGGCACACCAAGGCCCTCTAAGCTCGGTAACTTCGCATGGTCTGGACCCGGTTTTAACAACCCGGAGGGTGTCATGTTGAGCATAGATGATTCAGATTCAGGCAGAGGTTCGGACAGGCTTTTGTCAGTCTCGGTGCCTGGTTCGGGAAAGATGAGGCGGGTAGGCTTCCCCCGAGCCTCTGAAACATGGACCTGGACGGATGTTCGGAGATCCCGAGGCTTCAGGTTCGGGCCGAACGTGAGAACGAAGAGGATGCAGAGAGCATAGTGATCGCCCAATCGGGCACTTTGCTTCTTCTCCCTGAACCATGCTGCCACGTGTCCTTCATCCAGAGACTCCAGCCAAGCTAGCATCGCATCGTGACCGTCCATCTCGTCACTGTCACATGGATTGACACTACTTGACTGGTTGTTATTACAGCCACGTGGGTTAGTGTATTGAGCATGGTGATCAGTAGAGGTGGAGTTGGGGAGGGTGGTGGGCATCAGGAGGGAAGAATTGCTGGCAAAGACGTGTGGGTCCACCACTGGTAACTGGCGAGAACAGGGGAGAGAAGTGGGGGAGAGGGGAGAACGGGGAGAGGGGGGAGAATAGGGAGAGGAGGGAGAGAGAGGAAGCGTTGTGGGTGATTACCACTGGTAAGTGGCGCAATCAGGGGGAATGATATGGGAGATAGGGGAAGGGGGGGGGGGGGGGGAGAGCAGCGATGAGGGGAGAGGAGAGTGTGGTGGTTGCAAGGGCAATGCGCACTTGGTGTGATGGGAGCAGCAGGGAAAGAAATCGGCAGGAGCAAGAGACGAGAGCGAAGGGGATTGGGAGGGGTGGGGGGAGGGGGGTGGAGGGTGGGGGGGTAAGGGGGCAGAGTGAGGCGGGTCTTGTTTTGAGGCAGCTCAAAACAGGGCCACGTGATGGATGCATGTGTGGGAGGGTAGAGTGTGGCGGGTGCATGTGGGGGAGGGTAGAGTGTGGCGGGTGCATGTGGGGGAGGGTAGAGTGTGGCGGGTGCATGTGGGGGAGGGTATAGTGTGGCGGGTGCAGGGCCAAGGCGTACTTGATCAGATGGGAGAAGCAGGCGAAGGAGAGGAGAGTGGGGGAGAAAGAGGGAAGAGGAGGAAAGAGGGAAGGGGAGGAGAGGCGAAGGGGGGACGTGGTGGATGCATCCGTGGGAGAGGGAACAGAGCGTGGTGATTGGTTGCATGGGCGTACTTGGTCAGATGAGAGCAGCAGCGGCGGGCAGAAGACGACAAAGGCGATGTCTCGAATGAGCCTGGCAGGTGGGGAGAAAGAGGGGGAGTGGGGTGGGGGGGTGGGGGGGGGAGGGGAAGACGGAAGGGGCGAAAGCGGAAAGGAGAAGGGAGAGCGGAAGGAGGCCTGGGGGGTAGAAACAGGGGGACGGCGAGGCTTGAATAGCAGTTAGCGGATTTGGTGGTTGAATACCAAAAAACTGCTGGTTGAGTTCCGCATATTTGGTGTACGTTCCGTTGACTCGAATTCAGCAATCTCACTTATGCGGGAAGCGAAGCAGCTCCTGTCGAGTCAGAAATCGCCCAGCCTGTCGCACGGGTCTGCTGTGCGAATGTCTTGCGACGGTATCTTCCACCTTACCCGTCGCCATCCCTGCGACAGAAGCCGAAACGCGCCGGATCGCGCCGGATGCGGAAGGAAATTGGGGAGGGCGCACGGCGGACGGAGGAAAGTGCTCGCGCGGAGAATGCTTCCGCGGAAAAGGCTCGCGCGGAAAGCGACTCCTGAAAGCCGCATTGCCGAGAGAACAAGACAACAAGTTAGCTACCCGCATTCCAAGCGAGGATTGATTATACAAGGATTGTAGGTCAGCAGACTTGAGCAGCCACATTTCAGCTGGCACTGTCAAAAATTGGAATCTGGTGGAATTGGAATCTCCGCTGTTAGCTGCTCTGATATACTTTGTTTCATCCAGAGTGATACAGAAAATTATTTTATGATGTTATTATTGAGTACAGAAAATATTGCGGTGTACAAGAATCCAGGGTTGAATGGATCGTTGACTTTTGGCGAGAAGACTCGTCAACACAGCCCAACCGACCACTCATCAATTGCCAGTCTTCGTTCTGAACTGACTCGTCTTCGCAGCCACGTCACGAAATCCACCCCTTCGCCGCAGTTTACATTCAGCATCAGAAGAAACATTGGCCGTCGATCTCCACCGACAATGTCTTCGCCCTCGATGTTTTTCCGATGTCGCGTCGCAAATTGGCGTGCGCGACTTGGGCAAGTGCAATTCTGTGGGAGGAAATTTCAGTAATGGAGGGAATGTGAGTGGAGGAGAATATAAATTCCAAATCCAGTTCCAGCCAACACAGGAGAAGCACAGCACCATTCCGCACACACCTTCAGGGCACGTGTTTCTAGAAGCCCTTTTCAGTCCAGACGCTTGAACTTAGCGCCATTCTCCTATCATTCAGCTTAACAACCTAATATTTCGAAACATGGGCATCAGGAATATTATTCTCTTCGTGATGTTGGCTGCCATTTTTCAAAGCTCCGCTCTTGCCCTAAAGCCCGGGCGTGAGCTTCTCTCTCATCACGTGGGAGCTGTCAAGCCATCTCTTGGCAGCCTGTGGCGCGCGAGGGTGAACAGCAGGATAGTTGGCGCATCTATATCCACTGTTTCAGGCAGCTCTGATCCTGCAACAGCAGCTAGTGGTAGCAGCAGCAGCAGCAGCGGCAGCAGAACCGTCACCATCGCAGGAAGCAAAGGGTCAGCAGCAACAGCTACTAGGATTATTCCCAACTCAGCCGCTGCAAACATTGCAGCAGCTGGTACTATTACGGGGACTGCTACGCTGGGGAAACGGTCCGCTGCAGTGGTGAAGACGAAGAAAAACAGCACCATGGGAAGCAGGACCACCGCAGCCACTGTGACAGTGACAGGCCGCAACGCTGCTGCCACTTGTGATGCTTCGTCCCTTGCCGACTACACCTCCTCCGTTCAGCTCTCTTCCCAGTGAGTTGCCTGTGAAATTTCTTCCAAACGTGAGTTACATGGTTACAAATTGGGGTTGTACCTCCCTTCGGTTACAATGACTCGTGCCCTTCAAATCCCATGCATTTGACCTGTCTGAACTCTCTTTGATCAGCTTCAACATTCCCCATTCATTTCTTAACGCTGAACCGATTCATCTCCCCCCCTTCTTCCCCAGGCTAACACTCCACTGGCAGGCAGCCAGTGCGTGCAAAGGCAACCAAGGGCTGGAGGCGACAGCAGGCAGCACGGCCACGCCTGTGTAGTCATCCTTGCCTTTCTGAAATCATAACTCACCCTTCTGTATCCTCCACCCCCTCACCTCTCCTTCCTTTCTTTCCCAGCCTGACCCTCCACTGGAAGACAGCAAGTGCCACCAAAGTCAACCTAGCCCTTGAGGCAGCAGCAGGCAGCACAGCAGCAGCGGGGTGGTTCTCCCTGGCATGGTCGGCAGACGGTCGCATGGCCCCCGCTGATGCTGTCATAGGAAATCTGCCTGGGGGGGCTGTGGCGGCTTATTACATGAGCGGCTATGCGATGAGTGATGTTCAGCCTACAAGCAGCTTCGATATTGGCAACGCGGTTCAAACTACATCGGCTTCTGGCTCCACTGTTATCGAGTACGTGTTTCTTTTTGCAGAATCTGCTTAAAGATATTCATGGCTACACAACCACCAGATTTGGTCCCATGCACTCTATATCTCCTGCCACAAATGCTGCCACATGTGGTACATAGTTCGCCTGAGCCTCTCATTCTCTGCCATATTACGTCCCTGTTATTGCTTCTCCAGGGATCAGCCACTTCTAAGTATGTGCCTGTGTGTCATGTGTGCTGCTTGGCAGGTTCTCCCGCATGACAGGTGATGGAGCCGTACCAGTGAATGTTGGCGGCAGCAACACACTCATCTGGGCCTTCTCAGAGGGCGGCTCCCAGACCCTGGGGTTCCATGGAGAGAACGAGTGAGCTACCATCCCCACCTTTCAATCGCCATCCCACACACCCTTTGTTGTCATGCTTTCGGCTCTGTTTTTTTTTTTTTCCTTTTTTTTTTCAATACATGAAAAATAATTCACCAACAGTGCGTGGATGGCTCATGTCCCACCGGCCCTGGCTCATGTCCCACCGGCCCTGGCTCATTCTCTTTCCCCCCTTTGCTGCTCGTTCCATGCCTCTTCCACGCCCATCTCACCCTCATTGCAGCGGAGTGACCACAGCTGACTTCTCCTGTGATGGCTCCTCCTCCTCCGCTCCCCCCTCCACCTCCCCTCCCTCCTCCCCTGCACCCCCCTCCACCTCCCCACCCTCCTCCCCTGCACCCCCCTCCACCTCCCCTCCCTCCACCTCCCCCCCATCTTCTTCCTCCTGTGCCGCCTCCTCCCTTGCCGGATACACCTACTCTGCCCCCTTGGACTCCTCGCTATCCCTCCACTGGTACACAGTCAGCGCCACCAAAGTCAATCTGGCCCTGGAGGCAGCAGCGGGCAGCATGGCAGCAGCAGGGTGGTTCTCCCTCGCATGGTCTGCAGACGGCCGTATGGCCCCTGCTGATGCTGTCATTGGGAACCTGCCTGGGGGGGATGTGGCGGCTTACTATATGGGCGGCTATGGGCTGGGCGATGTGCAGCCTACAAGCGGATTCAGTATTGGGAGTGGTGCGGCGCTGAGTACCAGTGCTAGTGGCTCTAAAGTCATGAAGTGAGTCCTTGTTTTGTGAAGCATTGCTCTCTCTCTCTCTCTCTCTCTCTCTCTCTCTCTCTCTCTCTCTCTCTCTCTCTCTCTCTCTCTCTCTCTCTCACTCTCTCTCTCTCTCTCTCTCTCTCTCACACACACACACACACACATACACACATTCTCCCTCTCTCCCCCCTTCTTCCTCCTTATCTCATGCACCTCTGATAATCATGTGATGTGATTTTGTTCAAAAACCCCTCGTGGCACCACACTGGCAGGTTTTCTCGCACGCAGAGCGATGGCTCCATACCAGTCAATGTGAACGGCTCCAACACACTCATCTGGGGATACTCCCAGGGCGGATCACAGACTCTCGGCTTCCACGGAGAGAATGAGTGAGTAATGCTGCTTGGTGCCTTTAATTTTGGCAAAATTCCAAACACACGCTTGATTCTTCGTTTAATTCTGTGGCTTCCTCGCATTTGGTTTTCTCCTTCTTGTTCTGCCCTTCCACTCACAAAACACTCTCCTAACAAAATCCAATATCTGATTCTTACTGCAGCGGTGCGCTCACCCTGGACTTCTCATGCGCTACCTCGTCCACCGGTGGTGGCTCTGGCGGTGGCGTTGGTGGCGGTGACAACAACGGTGGTGGAATTGGCGAGGGGCACCACGGGCATGGCCATGGCCATGGGGGGCCTGAGGGTCCTGGCCATGGGGATGGGGGCCATGGAGGTCCCGAGGGCCATGGTCATGGTCATGGTGGTGGGGATGGAGGGGTTGGAGGGGGTGTGGTGGGGAATTCCACTAGTGGTGGTGGGTGGGGTGGCAGTGGATGGGGTGGTTGGTTCAACTGGTCGGGCTGGTGGTAGTTTAGTGGCACTGGCATGGAGGGCACGAGGGACATGGAGGGCACGAGGGACACGGAGGGCACGAGGGACATGGAGGGCACGAGGGACACGGAGGGCACGAGGGACATGGAGGGCACGAGGGACATGGAGGGCACGAGGGACATGGAGGGCACGAGGGACATGGAGGGCACGAGGGACATGGAGGGCACGAGGGACATGGAGGGCACGAGGGACATGGAGGGCACGAGGGACACGGAGGGCACGAGGGACACGGAGGGCACGAGGGCATGAGGGGCATGGAGGTCCCAGGGCCATGGTCATGGTGGTGGGGATGGAGGGGCTGGTTGGAGGGGGTGTGGTGGGGATTATGCAGTTGGTGGGTGGGGTGGCAGTGACTGGGGTGGTTGGTGGAATTGGCCGGGCTGGTGGTAGTGTGCTGACATGTACCGATGTGAGCCATGGCTTGGGCTACCAGCAGTCACGGAGATCGGAGGGATAGATATTTGTTGATGGCTGGAGGTGGGACTGTTGAGATTGTGGATTCGTACTCTTGATTGCATAGAGGATGTGATGGATTGTTGATGTTGTAGATACATTGTTTGCAACTTGAAGGCATTGGTTTTCGTTGTCGTGTACAATAATTTTGCCGGTTAGGGTGCGATTGCGAAACGTATTGCAAATGGTGGTGGAAGTTAAGTTTAGTTGCTAGCGTGCTAATGTGTGATTCCCTCTACAGTTCCATTGGTCTCAAATCGATCTTAAAACTTGGGAAGAGAGCAAAGCATACCTGCCCTCCCATGAAACATTATGTATCCGCAATGGTCATGTTGCGCTAAGAATGTGTAAACATATATCTGAAACGAAGTTATTACAGGATGACAACTCTCTGAAACAGGCTTATGTCTTAACGAGAACCAGTTCTTCTCTATAATGCTGCACGTTATCACCATTCCTCATCAGTGCTCGTCGTTGGGTAATCTCTGTTCTCAAGCGCTAGAGGATAGACGATAGACTCAGTATCGCTGGCGATATGTCGCCCCACGCGCATCGCTCTCGCACAAGCGTCGCACGGCTCCTCTTGTCGCACATTGCTCCTCCGCGCCCCACCCTTCCGCCTTCCGCGCACCTCGCCCCTTCCGCGCAACTCGCGCCAGCTCCGCCACACTCCCCGCAACCACCACATGCCTTGAGTCCATACCACTCTGCACCGCACTCTGCCGCTTGCCATCCCGCAGCACCGCTCGCCCTCCCGCCGCAAGCCTCGGCGTACTCTGCGCGCTCTGCGCAACCCTCGAGTCTCCGCCGAGATCCGTCCTGTCCAGCCACGTGGCAGGAGCTGAACTCCTATTGGCTGAGAGATTCCGCAATTGCCGCGATCGCACCTCGACCCTTCAATTCGCGCACGCTCCTCCCCGCACGTCCCACGGCGTGGCCGGTTTTCCCGCCTCTGACCACTCCAAACTCGCCGCGATTTTCCTCATTAGTAGAATCCGCAGCGCGCCGACATTTATCTACGACGCTTGAAACGTCGGGAAATGCGGAAAGGCCTCGTAGAGAGGTGGAGGGGCAGCCTGGGAGCGTGGGGAACGAAGGTTCGGAGAAGGTTCTAGGCGCGGGCCAGAGAGGGGGATTCGGGTCAAGTGAGCAGCATAGGGAGAGGGGAGGGGGAGTAGAGGAGCAGGCATGTGGAAGCGGTGGAGAGCGGTTGAGAGGGGTGGAGGAGGAGCAGCGGATTGTTGTGTTCCGGGGAAGGTGGATGCGGGGCCTGAGACTGATGGTGAGGTGAGTGCGGTGGAGAGCGGTGGAGAGAGGTTGTGCAGGGTGGATATGCGTACAAATCTCTTTCCATTGTTACAACAACCACTGTTTGTGATGCTCATAAATCATGTCTCCGCTCGCCGCCGCTGCTCTGTGCTGCATGGTTCCAGGTCAAGGTGGCTCAGCTGGTGTGATTCGTTGTGTTGACGCGCCTTGAAGACCGTCCCTTTCCGCCCCGTTTGCGTCCCTGCCCTGCCCTGCCCTGCCCTGCCCTGCCCTGCCCTGCCCTGCCCTGCCCTGCCCTGCCCTCTCTCCCACTCTCGTCGCTGCTGCTGTGTGCTGGCTGCATGCTGCAGGCTCAAGGTGGCTCAGCTGGTGGGGGTGGCGTCTCTGGCCGTGCCCATAGCTGCCTGGACGCAAGGGGTGAGATGGGTGGGCAGGATAGCTGGGTGGGCAGGATAGCTGGGTGGGCAGGATAGCGTTTCAAAGGTTGGGTGGGGAGGGTTGCAAGGGAGAGGAGACAGCGGGAGAGAGGGAGCACGTAGTGGCGGGGGTGGCATCGCTTGCTGTGCCAACCACTAAGGGAGAGGGTGGGTGGGGAGAGCGTGCAAGGGAGAGCACATAGTGGTGGGGCGACATCGCTTGCTGTGCCAATTTTTGAAAGTTCTCAAGAACCAGCTTGCCGGGCCAATAGCTGCTGGGATTGGATGCAAGGGGTGTGTAGGGAGGAGCAAGAGAGGGATAGTGGTCGGTGGGGCAGTGGAGGAGAGGTGGACGAAAAGAAGCGTGTTCATGCTAGTTCCCCGCACCCTGTGACTTGAGTCGACTCAAAAGTCACGTGGAGGAGAGGTGGACGACAGGAAGCGTGTTCATGCTAGTTCCCCACACCCGTGTGCTTGCGTGCAGGTGTGTGCGTGCTGCAGTTGCCTGCCGTCATGCCAATTGCTTCCCCTCCATCCTTCTCACCACCCGTCATGACCCTCACGGCCCATCAGGCCTCTCTTCCGTTAGGAACGAGCGTGGCAGTGGCAGCAGTGGTGGGGGGTGCAGCAGCAGCGTCCGCATGCCTCTGGTTCTACTCCTCGCGATATGTGGGGGAGATGGCTCTCATCAAGGCACCTGCTGCTGCTGCTGCTGCTGCTGCTGCTGGGAATGGGGATGGAAATGGGCAGCAGTGGAGGGTGTGTCTCAGCACGCTTGACTTCTGGGGCAACAGAGACGTGAGTGGGCAGTGGTGGTGGGGAGGGGTGCAGCAGCAGCGTCTGCATGGAGGTGAGTGAGCGGTGTGTATGGGGGGTTTCGAAGTGTGTGGAAGAGAGGGTGGGGAAGGGTGTGAGTGAGGGGGTGTGCTTGAGAGAGAGTGTGTGATGCAGGTGACTTTTTGACTCCTTACTGCCCTCCCATGCTTGACTTGCTGTCCCATGCTTGCATCGCCCTCCCATGCTTGCATCGCCCTCCCATGCTTGCATCGCCCTCCCATGCTTGCATCTGTTTTTCCACTCTGTCCCTTGCTCACCATCTCTCCTCCCCTCCACACGCTCCCCGGTCCCCCCTCGCCACTTGCCCAAACTATGGCTGTCAACCTTTACCATCCAATCGTGGCCGTCCAATCCGTCCACTCCGTCTCATCATGGCCGTCCATCAGAACCTCATTCTGCCTCTCAGGTAACTCCTCACCTTCCCTTCCCTCCACATACCCTCCTCATTTCCCTCCATTCTTGCTCCTCCCCACCTCATCCCCCCTCCCTCCACCTATCGCAATGGCCTAGTGCCGCCCCTTCAGATTCTATCCCAGCAGCACCTAAATGCATTGCTTGCGCGTGCCTCACCTCCCTCCCTTCATCCTCTTGCTTCCTCCTACCTCCCCTTCCCACCCCTCTCCCTCCGCCCCTCACAGTGCCCTGGTGCCGCCACTCAAGGGTCTATCCCAGCAGCACCTTAAAGCCATTGCACACCACAGCTTTGTGCCTCTTGATGGTCAGTGAGTGCATGCTTTGGTTCAGAAGACTCGTCCTGCTTTGATTTTGGTGTGGGTGCGGGGTCGGAGTTTGTTACACTCGATTCTCGTTACTGTCACATCAAATTTCAGGGAAACACAGACTATTTTTTTTCACAAGGGTTCCGTCTGCCTATGTCAGTATCGTGATGATCTCTCAGTTTAATCAAAATGTGAGTCTTGATGCAGCACTTGAAATCGCCATAATAACAATAGTAATAATTTAAATGATGATAGTAATAATGATGATGATGATAATAATAACAATAATAACAACAGTAATAATAATAATAACAACAACAATAATAATGATAATAATAAAAGTGTGACAGTCATTGCTGTGTTAGCAACTGTAAATGTACGTTCTCTCTCCCCCCCACTTGCCCCAGTGCCCTCTCATCGGCAGTTCCTGCTGAGCATACGGCACAGACAGCCACATCCCCAACCTCAAAAGTCCACTCTTCCTGCCCCCAACCCCCATCTCCCCCTCTTTCCTGCATCCCAGTGCCCTCTCATCGGCAGTTCCTGCTGAGCATACGGCACAGACAGCCACATCCCCAACCTCAAAAGTCCACTCTTCCTGCCCCCAACCCCCATCTCCCCCTCTTGCCTGCATCCCAGTGCCCTCTCATCGGCAGTTCCTGCTGAGCATACGGCACAGACAGCCATATCCCCAACCTCAAAAGCCCACTTTTCATTGCCCCAACCCCCCTCTTTCCCACTTGTCCCAGTGCCCTGCCATCGACAGTTCCTGCTGAGCATAAGGCACGGCCGCATCCCCAACCTCCCGCTGCTGCTGGCACTGCTCAAAGAAGAAGACTGGGAAAGGGAACTGCACCACTAGCTACTGTATAGGGTGTCAGATGCTGAAGCGAGAAAGGTGATGGAGCAAGGTGACTGTCTTAGGCCACAACGTGGGTCCGCCACCGCACTGTACCCACGCTTATTGTCTCTGCAACCTACATAACCAGCTTTAACCGAGTTGAAAAAATATACTGATGGCAAGTTTTATCCTGATTTGGATCAGAGGTTGGATATGCAGCAGCGACACCAGGGCTCTCGTTATCAGACTAATTTAGTCTGTTGGTCTATATTTCAGTCGCATTTCTGTTGTTCATATGTTCTCGCAGACATAAACTGCGGCTCATATGAGAGCCCAGATGAGCTGTTTATATTCATATGTTTATTCAGATCACAGATAATATTTCGTATGAATTCCCTGACTGCGAGGATGCATTTGTCTGATAACCCAAGGGAAAACAAAGGAGCTCGATAATCTCGTCATAAGAGTCGATCCCTCGACTGCCTGAGTCCGCATACTAAATAAACCAACTCCGCCATCCGGACAAATATGATTGCATGTTAAACTTTATCCATACGTTTTCACAAACGGCCTTAAATATTTCATCTGAAAATCAGATCACCCTGAATCCCTCATATGATGGTCAGACTAATTTTTTTTGGGTTGCGTAGCAACCCTATATATTTGGTTTCACATTTTGGGGATATCATTCAAAGAGTGTTATTTACGCACTTTTTGGAGCACTCGTTTGAATGTTTTGAAACTGTGTTCAAACGGATGCCTCAAAGAGTGGATAAAAAACACTCTTGAATGAGATCCCCAAAACATGTAAGCACGTACGTATCATGTTGAAACCATGAACTTGCTCGACCGTCACAACCTCGTCGATAAATACGGCGGATTGTACGGCCGGACATAACATTCTGGCATCGACATGAACGAATGCAATTGTACAAATGAACAAGGTATGAGGTGGAGTGAATGCTTCAAAATGAATGTTAAAATGCATCATGCAGCAACAGAGGTTGATGGGGTCGTTGAAACAGCGAAAACACGCTGCCCCAAAGACGATTAACAACCTCTAATTGCATACATAACACATACTAACACCACACTTTGAAACACACATCCCACAAACACGAATGCAAACGCACGTAAAACCCCACAGTGAAACAAACACAATGACAACACATAAACACACACACGCACAAACACACCCGCACCGCACACACATACATACACAAATAGGTTTGGGAGCAGACAAGCATAACAAAGAGTTGCAATAAGTTAATTATGTATCAATCACTGCTACCTTGTCCCCCCCCCTTACTCCCCCTTTCTACCTTCCTTCCTCTCCCTCTACCATCGAAATCTCCTCCCACCCTTTTCCACATTGTCTTCTCTCTCGATCCCTCCCTGCTCCCCACAACGCGTCTCGCACACCTTGCAAAACAAACAGGTCAAGCAGAAAATAAATTGTAGTCGGAAAACGGAGTGAACTATTCAATGACGAACACGCACTTGATTGTGAAATGGAACTTGAAAGAAATATGATAAGTACAAAAGATAACCGAATTCGACGACTCACAAGCGTGGTTTGAAGCAAAGATCCCCTGGGGTCACGCACACCACGCTGGTGTGCAGCAAGGCTCCAGCGAGCAAGGTGCATTGGTGCAACGAGCTGGGCATCGCCATGCTACAAGGTGCCAGAGAGTTGCAGCAAGGCACTGGCAGAGGAGCAAGCGGGCTGCCGTAACAAGGCATGAGCTCACTGCAGCAAGGCATGAGCTCACTGCAGCAAGGCGTGAGCTCACTGCAGCAAGGCGTGAGCTCACAGCAGCAAGGCGTGAGCTCACTGCAGCAAGGCGTGAGCTCACAGCAGCAAGGCGTGAGCTCACTGAAGCAAGGCGTGAGCTCACTGCAGCAAGGCGTGAGCTCACTGCAGCAAGGCGTGAGCTCACTGCAGCAACGCGTGAGCTCACTGCAGCAAGGCGTGAGCTCACTGCAGCAACGCGTGAGCTCACTGCAGCAATGCGTGAGCTTACTGCAGCAAGGCGTGAGCTCACTGCAGCAACGCGTGAGCTCACTGCAGCAATGCGTGAGCTCACTGCAGCAAGGCGTAAGCTCACTGCAGCAAGGCGTGAGCTCACTGCAGCAAGGCGTGAGCTCACTGCAGCAAGGCGTGAGCTCACTGCAGCAACGCGTGAGCTTACTGCAGCAAGGCGTGAGCTCACTGCAGCAACGCGTGAGCTCACTGCAGCAAGGCGTGAGCTCACTGCAGCAAGGCGTGAGCTCACTGCAGCAAGGCGTGCGCTCACGCAGCAAGGCGTGAGCTCACTGCAGCAAGGCGTGAGCTCACTGCAGCAAGGCGTGAGCTCACTGCAGCAAGGCGTGCGCAATAATCTGCAAGTGCGCTGCCGCAACAAGCAGCGCACAAGCCACCAGCGCGCGGCGCGCTGCAAGGTGCCACCGCGTTAGGCGCCAGCGCGCTAGGCGCCAGCGCGCTAGGCGGCATCGCCTTAGGCGCCCGCGCGCTAGGCGCCAGCGCGCTAGGCGCCCGCGCGCTAGGCGCCAGCGCGTTAGGCGCCAGTGCGCTTGGCGCCAGCGCGCTAGGTGCCAGCGCAGCAAGCGCCAGCGCGCAAGGCGCCAGCGCAGCAAGCGCAAGCGCGCCAGGCGCCAGCGCGCAAGGCACCAGCGCGCTAGTCGCCAGCGCGTTAGGCGCCAGCGTCCCAAGCAATTGCTTGAGGCGCCAGCGCCTTACGCGCCAGCACTTGCGTGGCAATGCGTCAGGCGTCAGGGCGAAAGCCGCCAGCGACCTGGGCGCCAGCGGCCTATGCGACCGTTCTAGACGCTAGCGTGGCGCTAGCGCGATAGGCGCCAGCGTGATGGACGCCAGCGCATTATCATGACTGCATACCTTTTTCACGTCGCTTCTTTTTCACAATTCTTAACTCACAGGTACTTTAGTTGGCGCTTTTCAGTCTGCCTATTAGAAGCGCTTCTCACGGGGCGGCGCTTCACCGTGGTTTGACGACGGTTGTCACGGGCGCTGTCGACAGAGGCTGAACTAAGCACTAAATGGAGACTAAAGTTGACTAGCAGGTGTCGAGGGATTTCGGTTCTTGATTTGCAGCATAGAGCAGGTGGGGGTTCTTGATTTTCGCTTGTGCGGTGGTCTGTTCTCCAACTGGTCAGAAGGAAATGTTTTCTTGAACCATGTACCAAAATGCTTCAAAGTTTCAGGAAATTTCTGGAGGGCAACTAGATCTGTACTCCTTTATCACGCCTAAAATAAAAACCAGGAAAACAAAACGAAAACTTCCCGCGTGCGAGCACGTGAAAAATACAACTCGACAAATTCAACTCTGGCACGTGAACAATGAGTTATAACAGCTAGATAACACAAAAAACAAAATACCCTAATATAAGTATGAATATAAATCTTGACAGATACTTATTGGTCTTTACATATCCCCTTAATGTAATGGCATTAATAACAAAATCATGACAGTTTCAATAAGATACAGAAATAGAATCAATTGGTATTACATTATCCTTCCAAACGTTTATTGTAATAAGTATGTGACGCATAATATAGCCTATGCGATACTGCTTAATATAACATATACATAAGCTAGCATTTTTATGCGGCACTTATTTGAAAACATTGCTCCTACGCAACCCATACGCCGCTCAACGGCGAGCCTTGTTTTTTTTTTTTTAACTTTTTCATCAGACGGCCCAAATAGTTAGCAAGAGCCCTGAGCGAAGCTTATCACACCACAGTTGCCACTACCGTCTTGATCCAAACAGTCCCATTGTTGCTCGGTGTTTGTTCGCAGAATTTCCTCTCTTGCTGATGTGAACGTGAGAATGGAAATTTGTATACAAAGTAAACTAGCCAGAGTCGAGTACCGTAAACATAACAAAAAAAGGGTGCGGTGGGGCTGTGGAATATATATAGAAGCCTCGGCAACATGGTATGAAACTGCA